CGATCCTCGGGGCCGGAACAGAAATCGAGAAGGAGGGAACCCGCCGCGACCCGGAGGGAACGCCGGAGAAACGGAGGGGCCGGGTCCAAGGCTGGACTCGCGTTGTAACCGAGAAACGAGCAAAAAACGCACGCCCCGAGGACGAGCTAGCCGCCGACGCGACGCGACGCGCCTCACCGGGGGTGGACCGCGCGGCGGCTGGCGGCTTCTCTCTCCCCTTTGTGTTTTCCCCGTTTCTTTTCGTCTCCCGGCCGCGAAATTTAATTACCTCGCGCGCCGAGCGTCTCTACCACTTAATTAGGAGGCCTATAAATTAAAATATAGTCAGCGCCGGAGGAGGGTGTCCGCGCGACCGAGAAATTTATAGAATTCGGACGAGAGGCAGGCGAGAGAATTCTTCTCTCTCGCGGGACGAACGATCGTGTCTCGGCCCGTTCGACCGACGCGGTTATTAATTAAGACGCGGCCCCGAGGTCCCGAACGAAACCGAGGATCCGGCGCGGACGTAACAGTTTCCCTCGGCGTCTTCTGCGGGTAGTCGCGATCCGATCTCGGGAATTCCGTGGCTCGGCTCGCCCCGAAAAACGCGGGATCCTCGCCGCGGTCGAGCCGATTCCTCGCGGGACCTCCAGCACGGAGAGGTACACGACGCGGAGAGGTCGTGGTGCGCGCACGCACACAGGTGCATGGAAGTCGCGTGGCCCCATATCTTAAGGACAAGCCAGGGGGGGTCCCGGTCGAAGGACAGCGAATGGGGACTAACACTGTTTTATCGTGTAGCCAATTAATAACGTTTCCCCGGCCCCCGGCCGCCTCCTCCTGCCCCCGTGGCCCGTGTCGCCGGACTTCGCGAAGAAGAGATCTCGCCTCAGAGATATCCGAGGACGTCCTCGGACCCCCGGAAGGTGGGCCGAGTATCCCGCCGATTCCGCGGTCGGCAGGGTCATCGAGTGAAATCGAGCGATATCGCAACCCCGTTCGCTTCGCTTCGCCGGTCGAAAATCGCGAGCCGGATCCGTACAACGGGGACACATTCTAAGAGGGTTTTGCTTGTGATGTTGCAGCTTACAGACTTGTCTCGCATCGTCCAGATGCAAGCGATCGTTCTCCCAGGGTCCTGTCGCAGCGAGGCCATCGTGTCAGTGTGGAAATGCATTCATTACATAGAATTACGGTATAAATTGTGTTAAATCAATGTTAATCGCTGTAGCGAAGTGGGGTATTAACAATAAATACATTATTTTATGTAACACGTGTCTCGTTATCGTACACCCTCCTCTCTTCCTCCCGCCGCCCGCGGTCCCTCGTCCTCGCGGAGCTACTACGGTCGAGCCGTTTCTCGAGCGTTTTTCAGCGCCGTGAATTTCTTTACGCGCCGAAGAAGCTCGGTCACCGTGCTTCCCTACTTTTTCCCGAGTCGTTCGCAGCGAGACGAGGGAAAGAGCCGCTCGTAAAAAGCTGCTGCAACGACCGGCATCTGCGTCGAGCAATTAACGAAAGGGTTTTCGCCTCCCCGGCCACCCTATCTCGCCCGCTCCGCGATACCTCCCGAAGCAGGCAGCCGCTCGCGCTCGTCGACAACCTGCATGATTTACAACGAGCTTTTATTTTTTAATCCCGGCGCAACTGTCACCGTTGCGCCCTGCCACCGTTCGCCGCTGTCCCATTCGTCCGCGCTCGAATCGCGGATTCACCGACTCGGCACCGTGTTCCTGTCGAGCGATCCCACGAACGCCGGAACTCGCCAGAGGGAAAGGATTTCTCGAGGAAAAACCGTCGAAGCAAGGAGGCGAAGCTGAAAGAGAGGAACAGGCGAAGCAACGTCGCAACTTGGAAGCCCGACAGGGCTCGCGTTTAAACCGGGATTTGCGACTCGACGGTACTTAACCCTCGGGATGGCCTACGAAATGACTTTATGGCAGATCGGAGCCACGGTTTAGATTGCATAAGGGGGCTCAACGCGGACCAAGGGGCACTGCGCGGCGTCCGATGACGATCGTTTCGATCAGGCGACAACGGTGCTCGCGAGCCCCCGAGGATTCCGCAAATGGAATCCTGATTACCTCATCCACGCGCTCGATAATCCATCGTTCCGCGACAACTCGAAATTTACAGACAGTTAGCGGGTGGTTCGAGCCGGGATCGTTTTATTGGGAGCGTAACGCGGCAGCAGTTTCGTGATCGGGATCAGCTTACGCCGGCCGGACCGGGCATACGTCCGGGGAGGAGGGACGCGCGAGAGGGAGAAAAAGTCGAAAGTGCAAACTCGGTGGGTTTCGAGGGAAACGTTGAAGGAGCAGCGGCGGATCTAGGTGGCGGAGGTGGGGCCGGCTCTCTCGTTCGGCCGTTCGACGAGGCAATTTCGTGCGACGATCGGCGCCGCGCGAGAAGCTTGCCCAGGGTTTGAGCACCTCTTTGTAATTTTACGTTGCCGTGGGGTGGCTAAAGCTGACGCAGTGGGGTAGGTGGTCGTGGTATGCCCAGTAGCCAATTCCCGGCTCTGGCCTCGACTCGCCGGGTCCATTCATCGCCGAGCACTACGTGACCGGTTTACCAATCCAGCTCTTCCTACACCAACACCGACGCCGCCGAGTTCTCTCTCCTACCTTTCTCTCCCGGTTGAACCGAGAGCGCCGGCACGGCCCGGCCCGGCCCGGCTTCGCTCCGCTCGGCCCCTGTACCTTCCCGCGTACGCGTATCCGCCAAACAACCCCCGGCGTCGTATCGACCGGCTCACGAACTCCCCTTCGCGATACCGAAACACTCTCGTCAACGATTTTCCAGAGGTTTGATTCGACCGATCTTACTCTGGCCCGTACACTTTCAACCCTGCGCTGTCCTCTCGGCAGAGTTCGGCTCCGCGCTCGGTCAAGTTATCTCTCTGGACGATTAACTCTGCACTGTTCTAATGAGATATTGAGTACACGCTCGAGTTTATCGCATAAACGACATACGGACCGAAGGTTACGACAGTTTCATTTCGATATTTCATGTGTAATTAGCGTAACGACGCCTAATATGGGACACTTGACTCGAGGAGCTCGCCGGGAAATATGGATTTCTTTTCAATGAAACCTGCCACGAGACAGGGATTAGTTAGTAAACATTCGTAAACTAGTCGATAACAGTGCAGATATCGAAATGCCTTTGAAATATGATAAATAATGGAAACGAGTCAGAAGCAGCGATCTGAGAAATGACTCCCAATACGAAACAGCCGGGTAATTTGTAAACAGCACTAATTTTTGTCACAGGAAATGAATATTTATGGAATTAAAAAGGACAAACGAATGTTCTACTTCTCCGAACCTGTGTTATGTTAATTTTCTTCTTCTATATAACACGTAAGATATACAATGCTAATTGTTATCGAATTTTATAATCACGCTGCATCGAGTCAGCTCTCAGCTGCAAAGGGAATCGACCCAATTAAATTCAGTAACCGAGATTTCGCTGCACGTCTTCCATGTTCTCCGCAAGGACCAAGAACCAGGCCCAGTCTAGGATTCGCGTGAAGGAACAACGCCCACGACCCTGAGTCCCTTATAATGGATCGAAAGAGTGGGTCCTCGCAGGGGGCGTCGCGCGTCACGAGGCGTCGTCGGGGGACAGGGCCAAGGGTGTGGAGGAGGAGAGCCGTGTGCCGATCGGCTGAGTTTCCGCGCGATGATGACATGTTAATGCATGGATGCGTAGTACGTAAAAGCGTGTCTGGGAGGGCGCGGGGCGGAGGTGGGGCGAGGGCGAGGAGAGGACGCGCCGGTGGTGGCGATGCACGAGCCGAAGTAAGGCTCCCTTTCCTGCCGGATGGGTTTGCTCTCGACCCGTTCGAAGAGCGAACGGGTCCTCGGCCCCGACGTGTCCCGAGTCATTGTCGCCCTGCCTTCTTCATCTGCATACAATGCCGGAGACATCCGCGGCTCGAACCGCTCCCCCTCCGCGCGCGTTCGCCGGCCC